ACCTATCTGGGCATCAGACCAGGCCCTAAACTGTGCCAAATGTCAGGGCATCAGAGATCCACTGCATTCTTTAACCTCGGCCAGTTACCAGCCTTGAGCAGCAGTCGGAGGAAAAGAGAAAAGGGAATTCACGTCAGAAACAGATTATCAATTTCTCTATCTTCCACCCAAAGGACTGCCTGTCCTCTGGTATTTTCCTCTTTGTTAACTCGCAACAGAGAATGGCAGAGACCAGAGCCAAAAATCAAAGAAGGCCACGACAGGCCCAGCAGCAGTGGGCTGTCTGCTGGCAGGGCTGTGCTGCCAACCAGGGTCCCAAAGGAGCTCTGCCTCCCAGCTCAGGGTCCCAACCTTGGTAACTACACAGGAAAAGACAGAAAAGCTGTTTAAATACTGTTAATAGAATGCAAAAAAAAAAAAATTTTTTTTGAGACAGTCTCAAGTTGTCACCCTGGGTAGAGTGCCGTGCAGTCACTGCTCACAGCAACCTCAAACTCTTGGGTTTAAAGGATCCTTTTGCCTCAGCCTCCCAAGTAGCTAGGACTACAGGCACCTACCACAACTCCCAGCTATTTTGTGGGTTATAGTTGTCATTATTGTTTGGCAGGCCTGGGCTGGATTCAAACCTGTCAGCTCTAGTCTTATGTGGCTGGCGCCTTAGCTGCTTGCAGAATGCAAATTTGTAAAGGAAAAAATTAGGCACAAAATGAAGAAAAATCATCCACCAACAACAGAATAAACTGCCTTGTAAATTGGGAGACTGGGGGCTGGGGCGTGGCACTCTATGGAGGTCAAGTGCAGGGTTTCTGGAGTGAGATCACCTGAGTTCTAATCCCACCTCAGCCACTTCCAAACTGCAGATTTTTCATTAAATAATAAGTAAGTTGCTTACCTATTACTATAAGCTAGAGACTGAGCTTGGTACCAGGGATATACTGGCCCTTGCTCTTAAGTAGCTAAATTCTGATGGGAGGATGCTATCAAACACACCAGCAAAAGCACCAGATAGCAATAAGCACACGGGGAACTTAAACATAGCAGTGCAATCGGGAGTGACTGGCAGAGCTACTTTCTCAAGTCAGGAGGGAAACTCCCTTAGAGGCAGAAACATTTCAGCTTTCATTTAACGACAACGAGGAACCAGCCAGGCAAAGATGGAAAGAGGAAGAATGTGCAAAGGCCCTGAGACAGGCACAACTGAACCTTTGGAGAAAAAGGAAGAAGGTCAGGGCAGCAAATTACTTCAGAGTGGCTTATGTCTGTCAAAGGTAAAATGCTGCTTGTGAGGATTCAACTCTTTACACCACATCTGCACACAGAATGTGTTCGGCAAGTGTAACGTGCTAGAATTATCATTATCATCCTCAGTGGTGAGATCCCATCATTGGAGGCGTGCAAACAGAGGTGGCCCCTAAGGTTCCCTCAACAATTAGGTCCCAGGGACAGGATTCAGTGGCCCATGCCTGTAATCCTAGCACACAGTGGGAGAGTCACTTGAGGCCAGCAGTTTGCGACCAGCCTGGGCAACATAGCAAGATCCTATCTCTACAAAATTTTTTTTTTTAAATTGGCCAGGCATGGTGGTGAGTAACTGTAGTCCCAGCTATTGAGGAGGCTGAGGCAGGAGGATCCCTTGAGCCCAGGAGTTTGAGGTTTCAGTGAGCTATGATCATATCACAGCACTCCAGCCTGGATGACAGGGCAAGACTCTGTCTCTAAAAAATAAAAACAAAAAAAACTTAGATCTCAGGATTAGACAAGAAGAAGAAACATAATGTCCTAGCCTTATACAGTCATTGATGACAAACTTGATTTATGTGCCTTTAAGTTAGAGAAAAAAGGTCTACATTTATACAACCCCAAATCCTTGATCATTGCAGATCAAATCCAAAGCAAATACACTGCAACCATAAATAAACGTATGGCTTTTATATTCATGAAACGACTTCATCATCTACCTTTGATAACTTCGTATTTGTTTAGTTGGTAGAAATGGCTTTAAATAAATAAAACTGTAAAAACCTTACACACAACATGAAACCAATACTGAATGAGCACAACGCAAACAACCCAAATGATTAAACATGAAATGCACATGTTTTTATTCTGCCAGGCTTTTTGACACCCCAGACTTAAAGATTTGGAGAGGACAAAGAAGAATCTTCATAAACCAAGATTAAATTGATCAATATACTCTCAACATTAGTTTTCTTCCACAGCCATCTCTATCCTCCCACCCCCAACCATACCCCTAAGAAACCTGAAGAAGCAGATGAGAATCAAACTTTCCCTATAAGAAAATATTCCTTTTTAAAAAATGAAAAAGTGACAAATCCAGCATAGAACATGTCAGAAGAGGGTCTTCAAAACTGTATATTATATGTTGACTATTCCTGTGATTGAATATAACCCCAAAATCCCTTAAAATAGGGACAATCCCAGCATAAATGTTGGCGTATCATGAGCTATGACCCCTGTATACTAAACACTTACCTTAAAATAATCCAAAAAATGCCTTCAAGAAAGCAAGATGAGAGCAAATAGGCCCATTCAAATCCAAATGACCTACTAGCTTTTGCAACATTATCCAGCCCAAAGAATGTGACTGATATCTCAGGTATGCAACAGCTAAATTTTCAATGTGTTTTGAAGGAGGTCCACCAAAAAAAATAATAACAAAGTCATAAGCTTGACATTAATATTCAAAGCAATTTGATGGTCTTAAAAAATATAAGAACTTAGTCATATAGGTTCAGTAAAGAACTTCAGAAAATGCACATAGGCAAAAGGAGAAAAATAATAATCTCCAAATGCCAGGATGACCACAACTAATGTTTTAATGTATAATATAATTTTTGTAAAAAAAAAATAATAATAATAATCTTTCACATAAATGCTTCCTATAACATATATTTTTATTTACTGTATCAAGAAGAGTATTTCCATATCCATATGTGTACCCATCCATATCACTTTTTATGAATGTATAATCTTCCACTTTATGGTTATACTGTAGTTAGGGCCACTGAGATGCTGTATGATCTGCTCAGATGCCCTCAGTAAAGAAACAGAGTAGTCTTGAAACAGTATTTTCCTAAAGTCGTTTGACTATGACATGTTTTTCTGAATTTCATGTTAACAATCCTAGAACTTGTGATCCTTTCAAAATACTTTAGAAAACAATGATCAAACCAACCCCCAATGTTAGATGGTTATGGTGTCTCCAATTTTTTCTATTATAAATGATACTGTGATCATCTTCTTGAATATACATTTTTAAGTTCTGCTTATGGAAAAATTCTAGAAATAGAATTACTTGGCTAATAGGTATGCATTTGTTAAAAATTCAGCAAACTTTCCCCTAAGTATATGAGATTTGTCAGCCTTTTTAAATAATAATTTTACATGTAAAGAATAGTTTGTAAGTTTATGTGCTCATCACATATACACGGTATTTTTAAACTTATATGATTACTCTTTTATGGACATGACTAACGTACAAGTTATAAATATCAAAGGTCTAGCTATAATGGAGGTTGACTCAGAAAGCTATTTAAGAATAGAACTCCTAAGAATTTATAGAACACGGCCATTATAGAGACACTGAACTGCCTCTCTTTCATTTTTCTCTTTATTTTGTTTACATATTTCTGAATATATATTCTGTACTCTTAAGAAGACATGAATAATCCCTTATATTTACATAAGTACTTTGTACTAATAAAACATTTGAAACAAAAAGAATTTTAGAGAAATGGAACAAACCAGAAAGAATTTTAGAGAAATAGAATATTCTCTAAAGCATTCTTTCAAAATATTGAGAAACTAGTATGACCTAATCAATCCTCCAATACTGAACTCTTATGATGACTGATTGGATATTAAGCTATAATTCCAAAGGATTCTTCAAGCTACACAATAGTCACTAAATATTTGCGGCCAAATCTCTAATAACCAAAATCTCTACCAATCAACCAATACCAGTGTCATGAAGCAAAATGTGTATTCTATGAAAATTAATTTCAATCTTATTTTTAGTACAAATTTCTACAGTTTCAAAGAATGAGAAATAAACTCCTAACATAATACAAAGATGGTTCACACAGCAGAACAGCTTCGGGTTCCTTTTTGGTTTTTAAAGTGACACTAGATATAATTTTATACCTCAAAGTAGCTCTCAAAGTTACTTAAGTATAGTGCTCACACCCATAGTGGAGTTCTGTGTAATTTTCAAAGTTCAGAAAGGCCCTGCCTGCTCAAAAATATCTCCCTTTCAAGCCTGTCCCAGAATTATATTTGAAGCTTTTTAAAAATACAAACAATCTTATTCAATAGGTCTGGAGTGGAGCCAATGCATCTGCATTTTTAAAAACTCCCCAGTTGATACATTTGTACAGCCAGAGTTAAGAAACACTTAGTTATATAAAGATTAGACGAGGGGAATGGTATTCTGAGGTCCCCAATTTAAATGTCCATATGAAAACCATTAATCCATCTTAGTCTAGTTTATTATCTCGGTGAAAACGCTACCTTTGGAATAAGAAGATTCAAGGTAGGTGGACAACTATTGGCCAAGTAATGGCCCCTAACAGGGATAGAGGTGAGAATATATATAGTAACAGAATGAAATCACCAGATCTTTCCTTCCAGAAACTAAGGCACCTCCTACTTTAAGCATTTAATCCCTTCAATTTCCAGAAAATATATCCAAAAAATGCCCAGCTGTACTTTTTAATGGGGTGGTCTTATGAACGAATAGCATTCAGCTGCAAGTAGCAAAGTCAGTCAATATACAAGACACAAAACTGGGCTGAGAAAGTAAGACAGGATAGAAAGACATTATATTACTTTTTTACAGAATAGCAGTCATTCACCAGAATGAAGTTTCTCAAAAGAAGTTTGCCTCACAATGTAACAACACAAAACAAGCCAAGGAACCTATGTCTCCTAAGTAGCTTATATATAAAAATGCCTAACTGTCTTGAGCTTCCATTACCTACCAGATCTGGACTTGATGATGTCACTGAACTCGTTCTGCCCATCATCAGGCCTGGCTTCCTCTTCTCCATACTTGGCCATCTTGGCTGGGTTTCAGTGCAATCCAAAAACTTTTCCAAGTCCTCTTTTTAAGACTCTCAACTTTCCACAGTAGTTTAGTGTGACATTAATACCTAAAAAGAAAGGGGAAAGTATTGACTTGAAAAAACATATTTTTTTATAAAGAAGTCCTGACAATGAAGCTTGTAAACTCATCCTAGAAAAAGTGCTACCTACTTCACTGCTGAAATAACACTATGGTCACCTCTGAAGTATTCCCTCTGGGACACTGTGCACCAAGGCCAGCACCTGTCCACCCTTCAAAGAACTTTGTGTGAACTTAACTGTCAGACCTTGTATAATGACAGCTTTCAGTTCCAAAATTGCTTTGAAGGATGGACTAGGCACTAGTATCAGTACATAACTTCCCAGGGAGCATACTTCAAAGATGACTATAGGGGTATTCAGCAGTCAGGTAATGTAGCACTTTTTCTAGGATGAGTTCAAGAACTTAATTGTCCAACCTCCTATAGTTATATACTGTTGTACATAGTAACTATTCATTCAGCAATTTTTTTTTTTTTTAGAGAGAGAAAGGGTTTTGCTCTATTGCTCTGATTGGAACACAGTAGCTCGACCATGGCTCTCTGCAACCTTGAACTTCTGGGTTCAAGCAATCATCCTGCCTCAAACTCTTAAGTAGCTGGGACTACAGGTGTGTGCCACCACCACCCCTCCGCTGATCATTCTGGTCTTTTTAAGGAGATGTTATCTATGTTGCCCAGCTGATCTCAAATTCTTAGCCTCAAACAATCCTCCTGTTTCAGCTCCATAATGTGCTGAGATGATAGGTGCCAGCCACCACGCCTGGCCTCATTAATCAAATATTTATTGAATGCCTACCATGTGTAAAGAACTGATCCAAGTAATGGACATATGACTATCAACAAGAAATACAGCCCCTGCCATGATGGAGCATACAGACACTAAGCAATTAATTATATAATGAATTACTTCACTACAATACTGATAGACTGCAAATGTACAAGGGAGATGTATAGAGTAATAAGAGCATACAGCAGAGGAATCTGACCTGCCCCGGGCAATTAGAGAATAAAGAAGTGACACTTGAGCTAAGCCTGCAAGGACAACAAGAATTTAATTAGTCAAAAAAGGAAGTGGAAAGAGAAAAGGTAAGAGCTTCCTATACAAAGTGGCAGTAAGAATGATGGAGCAGTCAGAGAGCTGAGCACAGGACAGTGTTTTTAGCTAGAAGACAGCCAGGATTCAAGTACACCTGTTGAACTAGGTGAGGTAGAACAGGCAAGATCAGGGTCAGGGGCCTTGGAGACCATGCTAAGTAAGGCTTTTGGTCCTTGTCTGAAGAACAATAGGGAGCCAGCAGACAGTTTTAAGCAGAGAATGGACATGACCAGATTGGCCTTTTGACCACTGTGGCCTATAGGTAGACCAGAGTAATATATGGACAGTGGAAACTACAGCAGAATATAGCAAATGCTAATTAAGAAACCCAGGCCATGCATATATGGACACGGAATGAAAATGTCCTTCAGCTCTTTCGTATATTTGGGAATTTTTCATAATAATATGTTGGGGGGAAATTCCTAACCTTAACCAAGTGATCACACTTCACATAAGTAATAACAGGGCACCATGTAATGCAATGGAATAGATTCTATACCCTTGAGAAAATGTTCAACATGATTCTCACAAGCAGACAAATCTGGACTATGGATGGTTTTCAAAGCAAATGGCCTGGGGCTTCTCAAATGGGCTGTGTCATGAAAACAGGGACGGAACTCTGTGGATCAAAGGAGAGTAAAGGTAAGACTTGATTAAATTAAGAATTTTAAAGAGTAAGATATTTTAAAGTATCATTTGAAAAATCTGAACTTGGACTGGATTTTAGATATTGTATCAGTGTTAAATTTTTTAACATTAACAAATGATATTGTTATGCAAGATATCTTTGAGTATAAGAGACACCTGACAAACTATTTAGCAATGAAGTGTGACAATATCTCTAGCTTAAGTTCAGACAGGGCAGCACATATCTATCTCATCTGTACATACGGATATATGCTGATACATGTATGTATGAACGCATCATACAGACACAGTGAGCAAGAGAGATGGGGAGAGGAGAGAGACAGGAAACAAATACTGCGAAGTGAAGAAACAGTTAAAAGACACCTGGGTAGTTACTGTGCTGTTCTTTCCATTATAAAATAATATTATAGGCAGGAAACAACCATGGCCTAAATAAGGGTAGATGAAAAGAAATGGGTAAATATGTGAAATATTTCGATTTTCAGTAAAGAAGGGCAATGGGGTTGGGTTCAGGACGTCAGAGGTTCAGGAAACAAATACTGCGAAGTGAAGAAACAGTTAAAAGACACCTGGGTAGTTACTGTGCTGTTCTTTCCATTATAAAATAATATTATAGGCAGGAAACAACCATGGCCTAAATAAGGGTAGATGAAAAGAAATGGGTAAATATGTGAAATATTTCGATTTTCAGTAAAGAAGGGCAATGGGGTTGGGTTCAGGACGTCAGAGGTTCAGGAAACTAACATGCCAATTGCTGCCCCAGTTCTGGCTTGGGTGACTAGGATGATTCACCAGGTTGAAAACTGGAGGCAGCCGGCGGGAGAGAGCGTGCGGTTCAGACCTGCTGAATTTGAGGTGCCTCTGAGATATATAAGTGGAGATGACAAAAGGGCAGTTGGATATACAGGATTGGATCATCAATCTGACAGGTTTTATGAGAATATAAAAACCTTTTTTCATTTTTTATGTGGCTCTACTACTGTTAAGAATTTATGGGTTATTATATGATTAAGTTCCTTTGTTCAGGTATATAACTGTAAGAGATTGCTAAGTTCTTTTTTTTTTTTTCTTTTTGAAACAGAGTCTCACTGTGTACCATGGGTGGAGTGCCCTGGCATCATAGCTCACCAACAACCTCAAACTCTGGGGCTCAGGTGATCCCCTTGCCTCAGCGTCCTGAGTAGCTGGAAATACAGTCACCCTATTTGTAGTGGGGACTGGGTCTTACTCTGGCTGAGGCTGGTCTCTAACTCCTGAGCTCAAGCAATCCACTAGCCTAGGCCTCTAAGAGTGCTTGGATTATAGGCACGAGCCACCATGCCTAGAGGATTGCTAAGTTCTTAAATGTATTTCATCATAAATTCAAGAACCAAAAACTCTGTTCAGAAGATTACATATGGACAATTAGGTTTGCCTAAAGAAAATTCTCTTTCCTGGGAAAAAATTACAGATTATTCCCTTTAAAATATAAATCTAATGCTTCCCTTCATAACTGGTCTTAGCCAAGGGTCTCCACTTCAGTGCTGCCCAAAGCCTTTGTCCACTCCATTAAAAGTCAACTGCTGACAGAGGACTTCATTTTATTTGCACATGAGCAGTCATACTTCACTATAATGTTTTACTTGCCACTCTCATTAAGATAACTTTCAATTTTTCTCTTTTTTATAATGAAAATCCCTTACTTTCTGCAAAGGTACAGAAGAAAAGGTGACCAGAGGACAAGGAAAAAATAAGAAGGGAGAATAACGTACAACCATGTAAACAGTGATGGCCTTTGACATATTGTTGCCACTAATGGCCAGAAGCCTCCAGTTTAAGTAACACAAGGCAAAGGACACCTCCCTCTAAACTACCAACAGCTGCAGCAACAAAGTTTCACACTAAAGTGTGTCCTAATATGATCCTCCACCTCCACACCTATGAGATGGAGGGAATGTGATCTCCCACAAAACTCTACATGAGACATCGATTATAAATGAATAAGGTACAGGCAGTCCTGGAGTTGCACACATCCGATTTAAGGGTAGCTCACACTTATGAATGGCGGCTATTACAGGTAACTTACATACTACTTCAACTGAAGAACAAATTTACAGACCCTATCTTATTCACAACCCGGGACTGCTTGTACTGCTTTAAGCCCTATACAAGTGTAATCCATTGTCACCACTGCCCTAGATTTCCTTTACCTCAAAACGATGTTCTGTAAAGTTTAGCCAGCTATTTCTCACTCAAATCATTCACTCAACTCTGCATTCACCAACTCTTCCCTCAGAACATTTCTGGATGCTGTATGGACCAGAAGGCAAAATAATGTGGGGCAATAAAGCTAAGGTGAAAAAGACAGACGATAGATAGTCTTAAAGGCAAAAATGTTTTAATTTGTCAAATATTTAGAATTATACTATATATAATATGTACACTATATATATATATATGTATATACACACACACACACACACACACACACACCAATGTCCATTAGGAAGGAAATGCAGTGTAAGTCTTTGGGCAAAAACTATTCTTTCACTCAAAAACCAAAACCCGGGAATATAAGACAGTAGAAGCGAAGACAAGGGGACAAGAGTTTCCCACTTTGCTTGAAACAGTAAAAGAAAAGGCTGAGTACCAAGAACTGCCGTTCACACACGGAAGCGCTCCAGGGAAGGTTAATACTACTGTGGTTAATTCTGTTTACAGGGGCAATAAATTTTAGGTAAACACCCAAAGGAGAGTTAAAGAGCTGTCTTGTCGGTCCCCTACGTGCTGGTAAAAGGGGCGGGGAATGGCTCCTGGCCCTCCTCGCTCAAGTACCCAGGAACTTCGCATTCCTCCAGCGCTCGCCTGACCCTGCGCCATCCACAGGCTGCGTCTCCCCCCACGCCCACCCGCAACCAACCCGGAGGGTTGGCCAGCCCGACTGCCTGAGACCCCGACAGTTTACAAAGGAATAGATGAGGCCACTGCTGCGGGCCCCAGAGGCCAGGAGCGCGGCCGATCCGGCCTCCCCTAGAACTCCGTGCGCTCTGGCCACGGCGACCGGTGCAGTGACCCTCCCAAGCCCGGCAGGGGAACTGACTTGCGTGGCCCAGTGACCTAAGTGACCTGAAGCCTGAGAAAGAGGAGGCCTTCCCCGGACAGCACAGAGAGCGAAGCCCGGGAGTCAGACCCAAGGCTCTCCAGTTCACTGAAAAACAAAGTGCGAGTCCCAAGGCTCAGGCACATGCTCTCCTTCCCTTGGAAACACCCCTGAACGACTCCCTTTCGTAATCTGGGGCTTGGGGGAAAATCTCTTTTAACAACGCGCCATCTAAAAGTCGCACAGCCTACAATTGGTGCTTTGTTGGTTTTGTAAGTGGCCTTGGGCAACCAGAGCCTTGGACCCCGGGCCAAAGGGGGGCATAAATTACCTTGTCAGTTACAGCAATGGATGCCAAAAGTCGGGGGAACGAGAAGAGTAGGCTTCTCCTCCGGACTACGCCCCCATCCCGTCCTGGTCCCCTTAACCTCTCCAGGGCCAGTGGCAGGGTGCTAGTGATCGCGCCACACTCTCGCCAGCCCCACCCTCGGGAGCAGCAACCACCCAGAGGTGGAGCACGTTCCCTGTGGGGCAGCCAACTGGAAAGCGTCCCCTTGCCCATCTACCACACAGCCACCCCTGACCACCCTCTCCTTGCCGACACCGCCCGAGCCCCGCCCTCCCGAGGCCGGGGTGTGTGTGACAGGCTCTCCTAAGAGGCCACGTCCCCTCTTGGAGAGCACTGGCCCAGCGCCCTGCACTGCGCGCGGCACAAACGTGCGACCCTCTCATCCTGGCCAGGAGCAAGGTTGGGGGAGCAAGGAGGCAGCACAAAACCAGTCCGAGAAGTCTGGGTCTTTCGCCGTTAGTACATTCCTAGGATCTCCTGGCCTGAGCTCTCTTCACGCTTCTGGCATTCTCTCTCTCGCCGCGGGGAGCTCCACTTAGGTTCCAAGGAAAGTGCACTCAAAAGTTGGTTACATCCTCAACTCAGAGACTTGAGAAGCAGCAGCAGAAGGAATCCATCCTCCTCCCGGCCCTCGCCCGTTCCCTCGGGACTGTGGTCACATTTCCCAGCCCGGGGCTCCAATAATGCACCGGCTTACCAGCTCTCCGAGGGCCGCCGCGCCTCGAGCCAGCCAGACCTCCTCGGGACTTGCTTGGGTCGTAGTAGTCTCAGGGGTGTGTGTGATGTGAGTTCAGTGAAGCGATGTTAAAAAAAAAAAAAAATGAAACGTGGAGAAACAGACAAGATCCGAAAGAAAAAAAAACTGACACCCTAGTGAAAACGCCCCTGACTTGTGCAATCTTCCTGCCTGGTAGTTCCGCCAAAAACAAAACAGTCAAAGCGTGAACCTGGAGCCGGAGCGCAGGCACCAAGTTTGCCAAACACTAGAGTTTTCCGTCTGCAGAAATGACCCAAAAGAAGGGGGGCGCCGCTCCCCGCGATTCCCCAATCGGCTTCGGGAGCCGGAGGCTCCTCCTCGCCCAGCGGCGGGAGAAAGCCCGCGGCCGGCTGCGGCTGGCCGCTCCCCTCCTCCGAGCAGAGGCGACTCCACAACTTTGTGCGCGAGAGCCGCTCGCTCCTGCGGCGGCTCCTCCTCCTCCCGCTCCTCCTCCCCGCCGCCGGCCTGCCCCTTTGTTGGAAAAGAGCTCAGAAGGCACCGGAGGGAGGGCGCGGCGCAGGACCGGTGGCTCTCGCGCCACCGCCCCCCTGGGGAGAAGCTCACGCCGGGGCAGCGGGGATCCGCTCCCTTGAGGAAGCCCGGACCTGCGGGGCCGCCGCCGCCGCCGCTCCCCCTCGGCTCTCCCGCCGGCCCAGCAACTTAGTTTCCGGAGACCGGCCCCTCTCCGCTGCCGGCTCGGCCTTAGCCGGGCCTCTGCGGCCACCACAGGCACCGCTCCGGGAACTTGGCGCCCTGGGTCACCTGACCGCGCGCCCCGTCAATCAGCGCCAGCCCTGCGCGCCCTCCCAGCCCGCAGCTGCCCGGCTGTGCGCGCTGCCGGCCGGGGAGGTGCGCCCGGCGCGGCCACCGGAGTGAACGGTGCGTGCCGGGAGCCCGCAGCCCGCAGCCCGCAGCCCGCAGCTAGAATTGGATGCCTCGCGCAAACACAATTCCTTGTCTTCAAATTGCCGGAAAATGTAACCACGCCCGCCTGGGCAAACCTGCTATCTGGCGGGGATGATTTCTTTTGGTGAGAGATCAACCCCCGTCTGCCACCCACCCCCAACTCGGTCCATCTCAGTTTGCTGACTGTGCTTAATTTTGAGTCCTAGTTCCAGCGGTAGATTTATTGTACGTAATTTTCTTAGAGTCTTTTTTAATGTTATGAAAAACGAGACGTGAAATGTCTTTTTCTATTGGTTCATATTGCAAGTAGTGTTTGAGATTGCCTTCTTTTTCTATTTTTCCAATATCCGCACACGCACGTATCAGTTACAGAGCCTGTTTCTTGAGCTGGCGGGGTTGGCCAAAATCTATCTGGGGAAGAAATGAGTTTGTGCTGTGTGTGCATTTTTCTTATTTACACATTTCTTTCCCTGTGTGCCTGTGATTTCTTTTATATCACACGTGGGAGGAGTAAGTAAAAGACAAGAACGTAAATTCCTAGTTCGTGTAAAGAAAGAGGAAAGGATGATTGATCAACGCGCTTTAGCTTATTACTGGCTGAATATCTGAGAGTTCATTTAGAGGCAGTAGAAAGTAAACCACTAAGGGCCTTAAATGAATTTTCTAGAAAGAAAATTCACTAGCCTTTTGTTAGTTATAAAATGAAAGTCGCCTCCTTTCCTAAGTGTTTGGAATCTTCTTTACAAAATGCCCAGCTCAGCTTCCTTCCTTTTCATGATTTTCTACATATACGTCAAATAAAATTCAAAGGATTAACTTGATATGGGTATAGCTATTCATTCACTTCATTCATTTAACAGTCCCTAATTAGGAGTCTGCCAGGCCCGCTGGCACCGTGGGTGATGCAAAGATAAATCTGATAGCGATCTTACCCTAAAGAACTTAGAATCTGGTAGGTGAGATAAGGCTACGTGTAAACAAGTAAATATATGCCAGATCTCTGATAAATGCCATAAGAATAGAACAGATCAAGTGCTACTTGAGCCTGGCTGCATCAAAGGAGGATTTTGTTTAACTGATAATTCTACCAGACACTTAAAGTTACTCATCACTCAGATACTTAAAGTTACTCATTACTCACTATAACCTGGTTGAGTTGATGGTAACTCAGATTTCCTCCTTTAAAATAGATAATAAGGGGCTGGCTCTAGCTCAGCGGTTCCTTGCTCTTCAGTGAAACTAAAATAGATAATAAGGCTACATTGGAGAGTTTGAGGGCTTTGTCACTCATATATAAGAGCCACAAAGAAAACATTCACTACTAAACTTCATTCAAGAATAAAGAAATGTAGTTTCTCTTTAAACGGTATAAACATGGAGAAATACACAATGTGCAAAAGAAAATCAAAGCCAGGTGCAATGGCTCATGCCTATAAGCCCAGTGAGTTGGGAGGCTGAGTGGGGAGGATCATGTGAGGCCAGGATGTCAAGTCCAGGCCTGAGCAACATGGTGAGACCCCTATCTCTGAAAAAAAAAAAACAAAAAAACTTCTTTTTAAATCAAAACATTCCTCAGCTTTATCCTTGGTGTTGACTATGAATAAAGCCCCACATGGACCCATTTAGGGGAGGTGGGGGACAGTGTGAGGATGGTGTTGGGGGATTTACTTTTCTTTATCTTTTTCAGGTGAACAAAGTATAAATCTGCAGCTTGTATAGAATACATGTAGATACTGGAATATTTGCTGAATATTGTTGCTGAACTCTTCAGGCAAATATCTAGTACTTTTTGTGCAAGCTGAAGATAGATGATATAAATAAAATTCTTTGTAATAGAATTTAAAAAACAAGAAATAGTAACACATGAAACGTTTAGAGAATAAGCAGTACAAAGGCAGAGTTCCTCACACTTTAGTGAGCTTAAGAATCACCAGGGGCACATATTTTCAATTCAGATTGACCTCCGTGCCCCCAGAAATTCAGAGTTAGTAGGTCTGGGATGGGAGGGGGGCCACATGAAGCTACAGCTTTAGGTCAGGATGGCTGGGGAACCATATTGTGAGCCACTATGCCCTAGGGGCCTAGCCTCAAATAGGCCACTTTGCATGATTGGGGATGGGGGGGTCTAGAAATTTCTCTAGGGGAATGGAGAATCCATGCTGGATGGATCATAATTTCAAAATATCCATTTTGATTAGCTTGACTTCTTCAAATTCAAGTGTTTTCTTCAGATTCAGACCACCCATGAGGTTACCTAGAGTCCTAAAACCCTCAGGAATGTTGCTGGCCATTTACCGGAGGGTAGGCAGCCTGACCTAGTACAGAGGAGATGAGGTTCCAAAGACAAAGTCTGGTGGAAAGAAGGCAAGAAGAGGAATGAAGAGCTAAGGGCATAGTCCCAGCTACTCAGGAGGCTGAGGCCAGAGGATTGCTTGAAGCCAGGAGTTTGAGGTTGCCATGAGCCAGGCTTAGGCCATGGCACCCCAGCCTGGGATGACAGAATGATACTATATTGAAAGAAAGAAGAGAGAGAAAGAAGAAGCTAAAAGCAAAATAAAAGGACTGAGTTGCTGGGAGAAAAGAGCAAGGGGTAGAGCATAGGGATAGAAAAAGGAGGCCCCAAAAGGGAAGAAGGAGCCTCAGAGTGAGTACAGGGTGCGAGCCCAGGCCACCTCCCTAAGCATCAGGAAACCTGAAAAAACACACACCCATGTTGGGTTTATCCTATTTGTTAATTGTACTTGTTTTTTCTTTCTTCTTCTTCTTTTTTTTTTGAGACAGAGTCTCACTATGTTGCCCTCGGTAGAGTGTAATGGCGTCACAGCTCACAGCAACCTCAAACTCTTGGGCTTCAGCGATTCTCTTGCCTCAGTCTCCCTAGTAGCTGTGACTACAGGCACCTGCCAAAACGCCCGGCTATTTTTTTGTTGCAGTTGTCATTGTTGTTTAGCTGGCCCGGGCTGCGTTCGAACCCACCAGCCTGGGTGTATGTGACCAGCGTCCTAACCACTGTGCTACAGGTGCCAAGCCTGTACTTGGTTTAATTTACTTTCTATGGTTGTATAATGTTGGCCCTGGAAAACAGGGGCCAACAAACTTTTGAGCAGGGGTCCTCAAACTTTTTAAACAGGGGGCCAGTTCACTGTCCCTCAGACCATTAGAGGGCCAGACTGCGGGCCCAGGGACGATTTGGCTGCTAAGCAGGACAGGCAGTGGTGGCAAAAACACCTGGCAGGCTGGTTAAATGTCCTAAGAGGGCTGCATGTGGCCCATGCCATAGTTTGAGGACGCCTGATTTAGAGTGTCTCCTTCAACCCTCTAATTTTACAGCTAGAGAAGCAAATAAAAGACACAAAACTGGCTAGGGGACACATTCAGGTAAAATAAAATAATATAATCTGGCTGGGTGCAGTGGCTCACACCTGTAATCCTAGCCCTCTAGGAGCCTGAGATGGGTCGATTGCTTGAGCTCAGGAGTTCAAGACCAGCCTGAGCAAGAGTCAGACTCCCCCCCATCTCTACTAAAAGTAGAAAAACTAGCCAGACAAGGTGGCACATGCTCGTAGCCCAGCTCCTTGGGAGGCTGAGGCAAGAGGATTGCTTGAACCCAGCAGTTTGAGGTTGCTGTGAGCTACAATGATGCCAGGGCACTCAACCCAGAGCAACAGAGTGAAACTCGGTCTCAATACATACATACATACATATAATAATGTATTTGGAGGGATACCCAAATTACTAAGAAATGTAAAGAGAGGATCCTCCTGTTATATTAAGTTCATTGTTAACCTGAAGGAGGAGGAGGGGGAGGAGCCTAAGAAAGGGTAGGGAGGAGAGGGGAGGAGAAGGGGAAAAGAGGGCAGAGGTGAAGGGGAAAGAGAAGGGGAGGAAGGTAGCGTAGCTGAGCGAGAACTAGGCTAGATTTAAGCGCCCTAAGTACTTGTTACAATATTGGCAGTTATTAAGGATATGAGCCTGTGGAACTTAACCTTCAGCTTTCTATCTATAAAATAGAAAGAATAATACCTCCCTCAAGTGTCCTGAGAATCTAACACATTTGTCGTAGAGTCCGGTACCTCTTTTTACTTCTACCGTGTTCCTTTCCTTTTTCTCTTAACTCAGGATGACCCGCTGCCATGTTGAGGTCATCTTCATTCATTCCTTTATTGAAAACATTCCTGGAACTCGCATGATCTGCTTCAGGGGCTGGGAGTAAGCAAATGGGAGTAAGCCCTGATGGCTATCTTCAAAGATCTCACTATCCAGTGAGAAAGACCGACAGGTAAATGGACAGTTACAAAGTAATATGAGTACAGAAAACCAGGACTGCCCAGATGTAACCCGATAGGACAAGGACAGGAAGGGGGCGGGAGTTATCGAGAGGCAACACCTGAGTTGAGCCTTTGCAGATAAGTAGGAATCCTAAAAAACATCTGTTGCCTGGTGTCTGCCCAGCATCCTGTCCCCTCTTATGGAGAAATTGTTCTCCTGTTTCAAACAGCTTTAGTGGGGCTGTCAATCACTTCGCTTAGCCTGGGGGTG